ACCCCGTGTTCTCCAGCAGAGTGTGCAGACAGATGCTTTTGATAAAGCAGTCTTCCGATGTCTCTCTGCTGGGAATTCGACTGGACAGCAACAGTACATTAGCAGAAGGGGTCACCTGACCTACTAAACGGCAGTCTGATGTCCTTTAGCTTCTTTCAGAAAGATGTAGCAAATGTGTATAACTTATTTTGTGTGCGGATGCTATAGAGAAATTCATTTCATGGAGGGGAATGATCTCATGAAATAATTCCATGCAGAAAGGCGGGCAGAAGCAGCTGTTTGGGTATGTTTTTGGCAAGGAATAATATGAACTGTGAGGAAAGATGAAGGTTTGTCACACTAAAAGTCTGCTAATGCTATAATTTTAAAACTGTTTTTTTAAAAAAAAAAATCCCCTATACCCACAAATAACCTTTAAAATAGTATTTATACAAACCCAACATAATTGCTTTAGTGTGCCTTTGTCCATTCTTTTGAAAACTTGTTAAATGATTTAGAGTTTGACTTGTGACTTTGCATACAATTATGTTCTGGAAAAGTGCCAATCAATGTGATGTGACAGCTCTAATAAAATGACTTAATTCTTACTAATCCTCTGTGGAAAAGGAAACTAATTTTCATTTTGCTTTTGCTTGGTTTTCTATCAGACTTCCAGAAAAACCCACTTTAAACAATGACAAAAGAGTTCAAATGTGTTACCCTACAAATTTTAATTTTCCAGCATTCTGTGGCAAGTTAAGAATGTTCTTTTCATTCCACACATTCTCAGAGTTCCTCTGCTTATAATGCTGTTTGTCCTGCCACATGTGGCCGGCCTTCCATGGACCTCTGCAAAAAAGGAAAACTGTGAGTCAGGAAAAACAATGTCTACAACAATAACATGTCTCCTCAGTGTCCCAAATTGTGGTTTTTAGATCAAGAAATGACAGAGCTGTGCTTTATGTGGGGTTCAGTTTTCCCGTTACACACATGCTCGTCAGTGTGGTGTTCCCATTGATTTCAACTGGGGGATGAGCCAGATACTCAGAAGGTGAATCTAGACCAAAGAAAACGTTAACATATGATAGTGATTTGGAATCTCTCCAATGACATTATTTTGCTCCAGTAAAGTTTGAAAACCTCCACAGTTTATTGTTTTCTAGCCCAACAGTTTTAGAGCATTTCTCCCAGGCTAAAATGGAACATCAATTTTTCTGCTCTCTATAATGCTCTGCCTGGGAAGATGCTGACTACCACCTGTGTTCTTGACCGCATGCTATTACACACGTTAGGCTTATTTAAAAGTGCATCGATTGCTGGAGACACCTGGGTACATCCACAGACAGTGAAAAAACTGCAAGAATTGAACTGAATGAAATTAAGCACCCAGGAGCAGAGATGGTTTTATGCAAAGATAAGGCACAGCTGGTGCCCTTTTAGAAGACTGAATTGAGACTAACTGAATAAGGCAGAAACCAATTAGACCTAAGTAGGCAAAAGAAGTCAATGTTCAGCTGAAAGAGATGTATTCTCTGGGAGAGGGTGAAAAAGTTTTGTGTGCATAAAATGAGAATGAGGAGTTGGAATTCTCTGCTTGATATAAACGTTAACATTTATGTAGACATTAGAGTGAAGATGCTGAACCTGGAGTTGAATGAAGAAAAGGAACATACTGGATTTTTCAGGTGTGAGAGAACATATGCACAAGTCTGGCTGTCTCAGTGAATCCCGTGTAATGAAGTTTTTTGTTAGTTGATTGCAATTAAATATATTTGAGGGAAAAAAAAATAATAGATTTTATACTTAACTCTACTTCATGATCTACATGAGTATATACCCAACCTAATAAAAAGCAAAACCAAACCCTTTGCCATCAAGTCAATTCCAACTCATAGTGACCCTATAGGTCAGGGTAGAACTGACTCATAGCAACCCTGCAGGTCAAAGTAGAACTGCCCCTTATGGTTTCTAAGACTGTTATCTTTACAGGTGCAGACTGCCACATCTTTCTCCTGAAGAGTGGCTGGTGGGTTCAAACCACCAATTTTTTGGTTAGCAGCCAAGCACTTACCCACTAAACCACCAGGGTTCCTTCCTTAATTACCTTAATTCCGGTGCTAAGAAAAAGCCATGTACAGAGGTAAATAAGTGGTTTTTTTTTTTTTTTTGTACATGAAGACAGGCCTTAGGAAGGCACAGCTGCAAATACATTTTCTAAAAGTGTCATTGCATGAGCATGTGCCCACTCAGAGTCTGCATCTGTAAGATGGCTGATTAAACTAGGGGCATCAGATGTCACCTGTCATAGATTAAATTAACTGACCCTTTGGTGAACTGAGCTGACAGTCTCATTTCTATAGTCTTTTAACAACAGGCCTCAATAGCTCTGGGCCAAGGTGAGATAATATTTGCATTTCATAGTATCTAACATTTGGTACAATAAACAGGCAACGAGACCACTGGTCAACCAGAGGGTCATGGTTACTACTGTATTTACAAGGCCTGTTCCAGTGCCTGGTACATGGTCGGTGCTCAACAAATATGCAAGTATTACCTAACCAGCACTGACACAATAAGTTTGCTCTAAATAGCAGTAGGCTGGCTCTTCCCTTGATCATGGCTGGTCTCTGTGGAAATGAGCGGTGCATGGGAAATTTTTTGGGGTGGCTGGGAGCTGCTGCAGAACCAGTATGAAGGATGGTGAGAAGGCACCAGGTCAGCTTCCACAGGCCACTGAGAAGGGCCTACTCATCCCACTGCAGGAAGTCCAGGATTTGAGCAGTCGAGGCAAAGCAAAGCAGATGAAGGTGTCGTCCAAGCCTCCCTGCTGATTCCAGAGGCACCTACAACTTCTAGAAACAACCAAAGAAGGAGGGCTGCACTCAAGAGAGTTGACTTGGGAACTCCTTGTCATAGCACTTCATCTTATTTCTTCTTTCCTCTCTCTTCCTGCTAGTTCTTAGTTGTCATTGCCGTTCAGCTTTATCTATTCAACAGTGTCTCCCAGCACTGCTTGAAGACAGCTGCTGCCAACTGCTTTTTACCCACACAATTGGCCTCCCACCCTTATAGTGTTTTCTACCCAGGGATTATCTCAAGGGACATTTTTCCTTGGCTTATGGCCTGAGAGGGAGTGAAATAGGGTCAACTCTCCCTCGTAGATGACTTTCTAAAGCAGCCTCCCCTGAACTGGGAAACTCAGCTGAGAAGATAGAGTAAGCAGAGGCCCTGATCACTTGGTCATTCCCACTTACCTGGCTGCTCCATCCCCCAGATAACTCCCAAAGCTTCAGGGCCACACTGAGGCTGTGATCCCCAGTGCGGCTCTCCAAAGAAGAACCTGACATTATGCTGGGTCAGCTCCAGGATCTGGTCAAACTTCAGGGCTCAGACTCCCCTAAACCTCCTCAATGAATATCCTATGATTTCTACCCAGAACTGCCCTCAGAACTTGACCCTGGATGTTGGTGTCCTGCTGATCATGGCTCAGCAACCTCTCTTGAGCCTCAACAACTGCATTCTGGCACGTGGGAAGCGGGCAGGGCTATTTGTTGAACGAATCTCTGCCCTGCCTCCAGAAGTGGTTTTCAAATATGTTTTTGATCTAGATTAAGAAGTCCTTATGAGGTGACATTGAACAGTCTAGCAACCACAGTTATGACTGATTTTAAACCAGTTGCCATTGAGTCCATTCCAACTCATGGCAACCCCATGTGTGTCAGAGGAGAGCTGTGTTCCATTGGGTTTCCAATGGCTGATTTTTTGAAGGTAGATAGCCAGGCCTTTCTTCCAAGGTAACTCTGGGTGGACGTAAGCCATCAATCTTTCAGTTAACAGCTGATCACTAAACTGTTTATGCTACCTAGGAGCCCATGGTTGGTATTAATTCCCCATGCTTTACTATATATTAGTTCATTTAATACAACAAACACATTTTATTGATAAGGAACTGAGGCAAGGAGAAAGTATCTCCTTCAATGTCACCCAGTAACAACATTAATATAAACAACACTGAGGGCAAGGACTGCCACAGTCTGGCTGCAGATTTTCAGGATCACCCCAGAGCAGTAGTTCTCAACCAGAGCTGTATGCTGGAAGGCAGGAGTGGGGTGGGGGGGTGCTGGTAAAAATCCTGATGTCAGGCCCAACTGCCAGAGCTTCTGAACATGGAGATTTTTTAAATCCCATAGTTCTCAGTCCCGGATGCACGCTAGCATGACCTCTTTGCCCAGGCTGTCCCCAAAGATCAATTACCTCTGACTGGGAATTTTGACATGAGATTTGAATTAGTTTGGGCTCACTGCTAAAATGGGCTACATCATCCTAAGGACCTTCTGTAGTTACCGTTTGAAGCAATTAGGGTGTCTGCATTACCTGCTGCCTCCCTTCTCTCAGTTCACCAAACCAAAACCCAAACCCACTGCCATCTGGGCAATTCCTACTCATAGCAAACCCTATTAGATTTCCAAGGCTGTAAATCTTCACAGAAGCAGATTGCCTCATCTTGCTCCTGCAGAGCAGCTGGTAGGTTTGAACCAATGACCTTCACAGTTAGCAGCCAAACACTTTAGCCACTGTGTCCCCAGAACTCCTTCTCCATTCACAGAGGACCCTTAAAAGTTGTCAGAGATGATGCTTGGGTATCACTATTGTTGAAACTGCCCAAGTAATTCACATGCACAGTCAGGGTTGACCACCGCTGCTAGATCAATAAATGTGGCCTGTTTGGAAATGTGTTTGTTCGCTGTTTATTGCTTGCTTGTTTGATAGAACAGTGGGAACGGCTCTGTGTGTATTTCAGTGTCTGGATCCTTTGACCCAGAGGAGACTACCTCGTCCTCACAGCTTGCTGTAGGAGCGGCTGGGAGTCCTGGGTCGCGCGCCCAGCTCTGCCCCTATCCTGCATCTGGGCCGCGCGCCTCACTCTAAAATAAACACCCAGGAGCCGCGGCCGGGACAGGTGCAGCCCGAACCCAGCGGACTCGCCGAACGCCGATCCCCGTCTCGGTGCTTCTCGACCTATGGACGAGAGTCTGCTGGCCTCGCCTTCTAGCGGCGGGAGCAGCTGGGGCCTGCACAGCGCCGTCATCCAGTGGTGAGCAGCCAGGCGCCCCCAGGCTACCCCTTCTACTGGGATCCCGGTAGCGAGGTCGGGACTGCAGGGCGAGGTAGCTGGGACAGAGAAGTTCTGGGCCAATGGGGTTGAAGAAAAGGGGCATAAAAAGGGAGAAGCCTGGCTCCCAGCTCTGCTATCCCCTCAGGACCTTAGGCCAATGTCAAGTGTGAAGAGGGACAGCCTGCGCTCATGGGCCTTAAAATAGGATTTAAAAGACACCCGTTCATCCCAGGACCAGCATCTTCTAATGCTGACCCGCTGCGATAGGAATGGACACAAGCGCATGCAAACACACACACACAGCCTCTTGGTTGAGAGTTTGGATTGAGACAGTATTGTTTTTCCATCTGTGGGCTTCCCTGATGGTCCCACTTCCTGTTGGAAGCAATCCAGGCTGAGCCCCACCAGGAGTCTTGTTGGTTGAACCAGTGCTTACATATACATCTGAGAGCACGTTGGCGTTGGCGAAGCAAGGAAATGTTTTCTTTTAGCATGAAACCCAAAGTGGGATGTTTTCTAACTTAAAGCAAGTTTTAGTTTTAAGAATGTATTACACTTTTGTGTGTGTGAAATTAACATCTGGCTATTTAAATAGGGGGAAAAAACCTGGAAAGGAAAATACCCTTAGCACTTGGGGTTGATGAATTCATGGGCTTTTAGCTCCCTATAAACAGGAAAATAATTTAAACCAGTCCTAAAACTTTAGTTTTATAAGGTGAATAACTATTAGATATCAGACTACATTATTTTTCTTAAGACTCAAAGAATATTTCTCGGGAAAAACTCTCAGAAAGTTATGTGAGTGAAGTAGAAAAATGAAGGGTGTGTTTGTTATTATAACCCTAACATGCCTAAATGATTACCACTTCCCCCTAAAAGAAAATCTTTGATGCATTTTATCATACATGAGGAAAAAGAATATATATATATATATATATATATATATATATATATAACGAAACATCGTGTTTTTCACAGTGTGACAGAGAAAAAAAAACAAAAACAAACTCCTGAATATGGCTTTGTTAACTATTTCAAGTCACCATTTAGAAAATTAGTTTCCAAGACTTGAAATATGACTCAGAAGCTTGAAAATACGATTAGTAATTCAAAGAAATAAATAAAAATACCTAAATGTCCTACTAAGGGTCATTGGTGGACTCACAGAATGGAAGTAGATCACCTGGCTTTTCTTCTGGGGAGCCTCTGGGTGGGTTCAAATGCTAACCTTTTGGTGAATAGTCACCCAGGGACTCCTGCAGTTGCCCTAAATCACTTCAAATGGTAACTGAAGATCCATTTTGACAGTGAGCCCCAACTAATTCAAGCCGCATGGCACAAATTCCTACTCTGACAGGCCTCTGACCTAAGCATCATGTACTTCAGGTTTGGGGAGAGGGTGAGGAGAGAAATCACTTCATCATGGAGTGTTGGCCTTTCACAAACTCACTGCGGTCAAGTAGGATCCAACTCATAGCGACCCTTCCTTGGGTTTGCAAGGCTGTATCTCTAGATTGACCAATCTTCCCTCTGAGGAGTGGCTGGTGTGTTTGAACTGCCAGCTTTCTGGTTAGCAGTCAAATGCCTTAGGCGCTATGCCACCAGAGCTCCTTGGTTGGTCTTTAGGCATCCAGAATTTAAGGTAGAATAGTTAACAGATCATTGTTGTTGATGGTTTTAATATTGGCATTAAAAACATAGCTCCTCAGTTTATTATCCTTGAAAAAATTCTGTTTTGACTTATAGGTTGCTATGGGTCAGAGTTGATCCTGACATCCTAAGGATGTTCAAGATGACTGAGGAGACCAGCTACCCAGAGAAATAGGAGTGGTTACAGGCTAGCTGTGCAGACACAGAGAGAGCTGGGCACACTCACCCTGATTCTCAGTGAAAGACTCAAGAGGGAGCCGATTGTTGTCATGTGGAAGAAACGCTCCATTTACAGTAATACTTCCAATTGTTCCACTTGTTAGTCCCCAAAGTTTCTTAGAGACATCAGTGCCACTGTCATCAGCACATAATAAATTCTCTGAGGAGAAAGAAAGGTCTCATAGTAAGCTGGACAGTCTTGGGAACAGTGAAACATCTGCATGGTAATAAAAGGTTTCTGTCTCATGGGCTGCAGAAACAGAGAGAGAAGAGGTCAGCCATCCAGCGAGTAAAAGGGATGACATAGAGTGGTGAACTGACTTCCCCTGCTGGGGCTGTGTGTACCCAACAGGTCTGACTGCATGGGATCCCTGGCTTCAAACCTCAGAAGAGAGCCTAAAGCCTCACCCCGCATGTTACAGAGTAGAACTGCTGCATAGGGTTTTCTTGGCGGTAATCTTTACAAAAGCTGATTACCAGGCCTTTCTTATGTGGCGCTGCTGTGTGGGTCCAAAGTGCCAGACTTTCTGTTAGTAGAAACAAACAGAAACAGCTTACACCACCTACCGACCCCAGAGGAAACCCTGAGCTTCAAATCCACATGCATGCATCTACACTGGCTGCAGACTAAGTAACTGTCTCCTGCACATAAATATGATAGTTTGAAATCTCTACAGACTCTGCTGCAATTAATAAAATGCAAATTTATTTTGAAAAGTACAGAATTCATAGTAGCTTTTGACCAGGCTGAATCAAAGGGTACTATAATCCCTAGTGCATAGGAGTTGACGACGTTTTTCTTTATGATGAAAAGGAGTACTCAGAAAACATGGGAATCACTGGACTAGGTATAGAAAACTATAAAACAAACCCACTACCATCAAGTCAATTCTGACCCATAACAACCTATAAGTCAAAATAGAATTGCCCCATAGTTTTCAAGGCTATAAATCTTAATCGGAGCAGACTGCCTCATCTTTCTCTTGCAGGGCAGCTGGTGGGTTTGAACCACTGACAATTTGGTTAACAGCCAAATGCTTTAACTGCTGCACCACCCAAGCTCCTTGGACTAGGTAAATGTCCTCTTCAGTTGGTGAGCATCAGCACTATCCATCACCCCAAATAAGGAAGGTATCATGAATGTTCCCAAGATCTTGGCCATCTACCTCATATGACTGCCAGACCTGGAAAATACTGATATTATGCAGCTATGCAAGGAATTTAGTGACCCTGTTCCACTCCAGCTTTGAACATGTATAATCAAGTATCACCCAAAGCGAGTTCCTAGGTGCAAATGGTTAACATGCTTGGCCACTAACCAAAGGTTGGAAGTTTGAGTCTTCTCAGAGGTGCCTTGAAAGAAAGACCTGATAATCCAGTTCCAAAAAATCTGCCATTGCAAACCTTATGGAGCACGGTTCTACTCTCACACACACATGAGGTCACCATAAGTCAGAGTCACAAAAACTATGAGGTGTTTCAGAGTCAGGATGTAAACCTGGATGTATGAGGTCACGATCAATTTCCTATGTGTGTGGAGGCTGAAGGCTCAGACAGCTACTGTTTGAGTGGAAGGAAAAGCAAGAACCTGAATAGAGATGCTCTTTCTTGCAGGACTAACTAAAGCCCAATTTAAAACCATTAATTTGTCCAGTCAGTGTATCCTGACTGCCTGCTACAGGCAAGTCTCTGAGATATGGCTGGGAACTTTAGAGAAACAACTAAAAGCAGATAGTCAGAAATGGGGTGAATCTGTTGGAGAAGCAGAGTCACCAAGCAGAAACAGAAGGCTCAAAACTTAGAAGGCAGCCCTCTAGGCGCATGGCATAGAAAGCACTCTTGACCACAGATCTGTATCATTATTGTTACTATTATTGTGTTATTTATCCACTCAGTAATGTCACTTTGAAATAGAACAATAATTCATAGAGGCCTAGAACAAATGAATGTCTGTGACCAGAAAGAACAATTAACAAAAATTAAACTAGAGTTCATTTTAAAGAGTTAGTATTTTGTGCAGTGCTTTTGTTTTAATATTTTATTTCTTGTTTTTGTTGTGAACATATATAGCAGAACATACACCAATTCAATGGTTTCTACAGGTACAAGTCAGTGGCATTGATTACATTCTTCAAGTTGTGCCACCATTCTCACCCTCCTTTTCTGAGTTGTTCCTCCCTCATTAACATAAACTCACTACCCCCTGAAGTTCCTATCTAATCTTTCGAGCTGCTGTTGTCAATGTGATCCCATATACATATATTTTATAAGAGCACAGTGCTCAAGGCCAATGTTCTTTATGGATTATTCTTTTTTAAGGAGATTGTTTCCCTGCCAGTTCCAGTTGCCATTGAGTGGATTCTGTCTGTTTTAGAATAGAACTGCACTCTGTACAGTTTTCAGTGGCTATGACATTTCAGATGGAGATTGTCAGGCCTTTCTTCTGAGGTACCTCTAGGTGGCTTGGAGGTGCCAGCCTTTCAGTTAGTAGCTGACTGCTTAACTGTTTGCATGACCCAGACCATCCTCACCACTTGTCCCCGCCCCCCACAAACACACACTTTCGCTCTCTCTTATACCTCTTGTTGGAACAGCCCCCTGGCTATCCCCACAGGGACTGAGCTGTGATATGTGAACTGCAGGCAAAGTCCCTCGTGTCCACCTTCTTTGCCAGGGTACATACACTAACCCCAAGACCCAAGAGTATTTAGACAAAGATCCCACCTTGAGCAGTGGCCACAAGCACTGCAAGAAATACTGAAATATTGCTTGGTTCTGTATACTAGCTGAAAACCCAGTTGTTGAGTAATTTCCAACTCATGGCAACCCCTTATGTGTCCTAGTAGAACTGTGCTCCATTGAGTTTTCAGTGGCTGAATTTTCAGAAGTAGATTGCCAGGTCTTTCCTATGAGGTACCTCTGGGTAGACTTGAACCTCTCACATTTTGGTTAACAGCCAAGTGCATTAACTATTTGTACCAGGGACTCTTGCTTGGATCTTCACTGAACAGGAAATAAAGGAGTGTGAAAGTTTACTTCCTCTCTGTCTCCTGGCATCTTGCTTTTTAATCTCATTGCAATTCAAAGAATCAAAATATAATGGCTGATCCTAAATGACACAGTTTAAAAACAGTGCAAGAAACTGTGCTGGGGTAGAGGGATGATGGAAGAGCAGCTGTGAACCACATGCCCATCATAAGCGAACAGGAATTAGGAAGCCACACTCAACTCTTGGAGGAGCCTGCAGAGTTGAGGGACTCTCCATGTGGTTTGTGGAGTTAATAGACTTTAAAAGAGGGTTTTGTTTGTGTCTTAGCAAGTAGTTCTCTACTTTATGATTTTAGCTCTTGGCTATGACCTTTTTAATGGTATATGAAATGGTGTCCCCTGAGTCCAATAATTTGTTCTTTTTAAGATTTTCTTCTCCCCAGAAATATTATTTAATAGTTTTTTAAAAAATCCATCATGCTGATAATTCAAAAGCCCATAATCAATACACTTAACACTGGGCTTAGAACAAGAGTTATCAGTGCCAGCTGGTGAACTTTCTCTGGGTTCCAGTCAATAAATTAGACATATTTTATTTAATTGGATCCCACATTGTGGCTGACCATTACTTCTTGTCCTCCTTTCCCCACGGGTTGGTGGATAATTTATGTGAATAACCTTTGTGAAGGGTGCAGTGTACCTCACTGTCTAGTGTATGAGGTGTACATGGAAACCAGGGGGGGAAATGCCCAAAATCAAGTCAACTCAGCAATGTTAGGGAAGGTAGAGTGTGAAGATGAAAATCAGGGAAGTCATTGAGTAAAACTGTAAGCAAATTAATTTATGAGAAAAATTTGAAACTTATTTGGGGCTAATGAGTTCTCAGTAAGCATAACTGGCTTCATTCTGGCAACATAACAAGATGGTAAACTTACTTCAACTCTCTCAAAAAGCTCTTTTTTTTTCCTCACTTTGTAGTGAGGAGCCAGAAGAGGTAAGGAGAAGATGGTACATAAGGGAATATGACTATGAGGGCACCAAACACTCCCCAGGAACCAGATTTGCTGGGCCTTTATTCTCTTCATAGAAATGCCAAATTAACCACAGCACAAGCCCTATGAGCCATTTTTTGGCATCAAAAAACTGATGCTGCTGATAATTTGGTTGTACTTACAAAACTCATTGGTTCTTAAAGATATCCTCTGGAAGTAAAGAACTCTATCCATAAACTTGTTGAAAAGCATTCAATATACAACAAATGCAATCATTTGCACAAGTATAGTCTCTCAGAGACCTCCACATTCAACAAATTGTTGTTTATCTGCCATGGACCAGGCATTGTTTAAGGTACTGGGAACACAAAAGGGACCAAGACCAATAAAAATACCTGCCCTTCTATGACTTATTTCCAGTTGAGGAAGACAGATAAACAAGATATAGTATATTAGTGACAAAGGGTAAGGAGAAAAAATAGCAGAGGAAAAGAAGATAAGGCTGTGTGTGTGTACATGAGTGTGTGTACATGTGTGTGTTAGGGGAAAGAGTTATAATATTAGAAAAGACAGCAAGTGAAAGCCTCACTGAAAAATAACACGTGAGTCCAGACCTCCAAGAAGTAAGGCAGTGAGCATGTGGTTGTCTGAGGAAAGAGTGGTTCAGGTAGAGCCAGTGCAGATGTGCTAAGGCAGCAGGAGCCTGAGCAACAAGGAGGCTGCTGTATCTCAAGAGAGGCAACCAGGAGAAAGGATGGGAGGTCAGATCAGGGAAGTGAGAGGAGCCTGCATGAGCAGGGAGAGACAGACAAGAATAACAGTGGAGGCAGTGAGAAGGGGGTGAAGTCAGTAGGATTTGTTACTAGAAAGAATGAATAAATCAATAGACTTGTTAAATTTAAAACGGTAATACCTTCAGCTATGTTTTTATTTTTTAAGGCCCTTTTCCATCTAGTTTTCAGGAATAGACACCCATTCAAAACAAGTTAAAAGAAGATTTTTTAAAAACATTCTAGAATGTGGTTTTATTAATGCACTTTATGACAAGTGCCATTCTTACTCTCTTTTTCTGGGAAAAAATACTGTCAATTATAAATAACCCAGCAGATTTTTCCTTAGACTAAAACAGTGTGTGTTGGGGTGGAGGTTGGATCGTTTATATCATGCTGCAAATACAAACTCGTATCTTGAGTTTACAAATAACACTGAGCAAAAAAATATTTTTCCTTCTTAAATTTTCTTCAAAGCAGATCTATTTAAAAGGAGCATTTTTTAAAGGAAAGGGGACATAGCTTATCTAATTGAATTGTAAGAAGTTTGCCTGGGCCTCACAGAATCTGCTCCAGCATGGCCCAACAGAAATGTAATTGTTGTTGTTGTTGTTACGTGCCATCAAGTCGGACCCGACTCATAGCTATAAATGTAATATAAATTATTCCCATAGCCTCAGTTTAAAAAGTTTTTAAAAAGGCAAACTTAATTTTAACATATTTTATTTAATGTGAAATATCCAAACAATTGTTATTTCAACATAGAATAAATACTAAAAAACCATTAAGACTTTTTTCTTTTCCTTTCTTTTTCTCCCCCCATGCTAAATCTTCCAAATTCAGTGTGTACTTTATCCTTATGGGACATCTCAATTACAATGAGGCACATTGCAATTGCTCTATAGCTAAATGTGGCTGGTGGTTTTCATTATAGCACAGGAAGGAGTAGATCTCAAGACACAAGTCTGTCCTCTTTCTCCCTCTGATGTGTCTTTAAACCACTGAGTCTCAGCTTTTTTTCCTACTGGCTTGCTCCATTCCTTTCCCTAGAAGCTAGTTTCTAGCTTCCTCTACCAGCTTTCCAATTTCCCATAATCACGTCTTACATGGTGCCTGCCATGATGCTTTCTCTGTCCCCTACACTCCCTGACCTTCTGCTCCAGTGCTTAACAGGTCTGTGAGGCAGTCCACCCCAGCTGTGATTAGGAGAAGCACTCTGGAAAGGGCGTGCAGGTGGGGAGGCAGTGATTGTCATCTTTGGTGCTTTGTCTACTTTCATAGCCACCTAGCTCAGGCAGGTAGCATCAGGTGGACAAGAAAACAAACCTAGACTGATTAGGGCTAAGGGTTCCACAGCTAGTTCCAATGCTTGAGCAGGAAATTCTGTCTCCTGAAGAGTGGTTACCTTGCTATTCCCCCTAAAGGGTTCTTGAGTTCAAATAGACCTTGGAGATCACCTGGTCTAACGCCATACCCAAGGCAAGATCCCATCTAAAGCACCCGTGTCTAGGAGCTTCATAGTGGAACGAAGTGCCCTGTCCAGGTGAAGACAACTCCAGGTGCAGAGAGCTGGGTGAGAGGAAAGCACATTTCTGCAACTTCTTCCTCTGGACAAATGTAGCCCCACATTAAGATTTGTGGCTTGGCAAGCAACATACAGGCTGGCTTCCCAACCCACTAGCCTCATCCTCAGGGGCTTGGTGCAGTTCCCAACCTGCATATCCTGCTGCTTGGGGTAGCCATCTGGTTTTGGCTGAAAAGATTTGGGTGACAAGGAGTTTGCTTAATGTGCCACAATGCTGCTATGTCAGTTTTCTCTCTCCTTTTCTCCCTCCTTCTTTCCTTCTCCCTCTTGTTAGTGGTCCTCAGGTGGACAGAATTTGACTGGTTCATGACACACTCTCATTACTGATCCATGCATGCCTGCTCCTATTTGGTTGTTTAGTTCTTTTCAATGTGATAAGCATCTGTGAGCCCACCACCCACAATAAACCATATTGCTGGTTCCCTCATATCCCATCTCCCCATCCTTCCCACTGGTGGAAACCATCACCCTATTCATCGTTATCTTGCTTTTTTAAGAAGAGTTTTATTGCATTTATATGTATTACTAAAAAGCATATTTTTATTTTTGTAATTTAACTTTATTGAAAAAGAGTATGTGTTGTTTGTAATCTTTGGACTTTTCCACTTAATATTATATTTTTAAGATTCATCTAAATTTATTTGACTGTTGTAGACTATGTCACACTTTATTCACCCACACACCCATTGATGAGCATTTGGATTGTTTCCCAATTTTGTTATTGTGAACATTCTTGTACATGTCTCCTATTCTACATGTGAAGATTTTCACTTGGGTGTGTGCATCCAGGAGTCAAGTATCAGGATCAGGAGATCTGTGATCCTGCAATTTCAGGAGACGGAGTCAAACTGTCTCTCACACTGTTTACCAAGTTATTCTCTTGTGGTGCAGTGAATTACTTAATATGGCTCTTCTAGCCATAGTCTTTGTGACTCCCACAAAGTGATTGGATGGAACTATGCAAATAAGTTGCTTATGCCCCACCAAGGAGATTGGACATCTTGCTGTTAATGCAAATTAAGGTACATGTAACCTGTGGTGGTTAAAGGTATGTGTCAACTTGACTAGGCCATGATTTTTCGTGGTTTGACAGCTATATATGAAGTTGTTGCTGTTGCTTTGTGCCGTCGAGTGGGACCTGACTCATAGCGATCCCTCCTTGGGTTTCTGAGGCAGTATCACTATGGAGGTAGATTGCCCAACCTTCCTTCCAAGGAGTGGCTGGTGGGTTTGAACCGCCAGCCTTCTGGTTAGCAGTCAAGTGCCTTAGCCACTATGCTACCAGTAGTCACCCTCTATTTTGTGGTCTGATGTAATTATCCTCCATTTTGTAACGTGTTGTAAATCTTAGCCTTTATGCCTATGGTTATGGTCCCATTTGGGAGTGAGTTGTCTGTCATGGTAGTGAGGCAAGATTAAGATGGGATGTATCTTGAGTCATTGTTTTACTAGAGGGTGTGACTCCAGTCACCCCCTAACCCCAGTCGCCACCCTTTCCATCCTTATTCAAGTGGGGTTTCCTTGAGGGTATGGTCTGCATATACATACATACATGCATGCATGCATACATAAATACACACACACATATATATACACATTCACATGTGTATATATGTATGTGTGTGTGTGCATATATATATGAATGTTGTAGCAAAGTTCCCTCTCTTGCTCTGGATCCTGCATCTTGCTGGTCATCATCTGACCTCTGGTTCTTGAGCCAGAAGCCTATCATCTGACTTGATTCACCAGCTTCCACAGCCTTGAGAGCCAGAAGCCTGTCATCTGACCTGCCAATTGGGGTTCATCAGCCCCTGCAACCATGTGAGTCAGGAGAAGTCTGACACCTCACTCTCAGATTTTGGCCTTGCTAGCTTCCATAACCACATGAACCATTTTCTTCATCATTCATGATTTCTGTGAGATGTTGCCGCAAATTATAGAACCCAAAGACGAGAGGGAGAGTACTGAGGGGAAGAGAAGTAGTTGATGTTAGAGATGAGGGAGTGGTACTATAGTTTGGAAAAGCTGGACATTTGAGACATCTTTAACCTCTGCCTCATAAGAACCTCTGGTAGTACAGTGAGTGCCTAAGGCATTTGACTACTAACCAGAAGGTTGGTGGTTCAAACCCACCAGCCACTCCATGGAAGGAAGATGGGGCAATCTACTTCCATAAGGATTTACCACTCAGAAACCCGATGGGAGTCCCTATGGGTTGGACTAGACTTGATGGGAGTGAGTTTCGTTTGGTTTTTTAGTTCATAGGAACCAGTTTTGTGCTGATCCTTACAAATGAAATTACTCATTCACCCTCTTACAACAATCTTCTAGATTTTAATTTTGTTTTCTACTATTAAAATTTTAGACCCATTCTTCTTATATATAGCCGAAATCCTTATCCCTGAAATATCCAGTCACTGGTGAAAACACTGCACTTTGACAGTCATAGAACATGTATGAGAATCATCTAATACCACAACTGCTCAAATATTTGAAATAATTGTTCATGCCTCCCTATCTTTCCTTTTCCACACTGAGTATGGTTGGTTCCCCATCCATCAACTTCCTGACCCTCTGTTTCATTATACACTCAATTTGTGAATGTCCCTTTTAAAAGGTGGACCCAAGGTTGCAACCCAGTGCCTCA